CATGATGGCAATTATTTTACATCGAAGTAGAATGTAGTTCTTCATACATACACACACACATCAATTTCAAACAGATGGTATCGTGGGGGCCAAAAAATGGCATTGCCGCAACACGAGTTCCAGTGAGTTTATTTTTCAATGGGACTATCACAGTTCTCTAAAATATGATCAGTTACCAGGACTTTCTTCCAGTTTGTTCAGGAAGAAATGGGGAAGGAAAAAAAAACAACTTTCTTCCTGTTTCTTTCACTTCTCTGGAAGAAACTCAACTCTGCGGCTTTTTATTCGCTGCTTGTCACTCCTCTCGAGATAATCAAGGCTCAACGTCGTTCTTTTGGTTTTAACAGCCATTTATTGTGGACAAGTCTTATAAAGCCCCAAAAAATGCCTAGATTATCTCGAGAGGAGTAACAGTCAGAACTCATTGGCAGCATAAACTCCAGAGGAATAAAGATAACTTATACAGCTTTTCTCAGAAAACCAGTCTTATAGCTTTCTGGTAAAACTTCTTGAAAAAACAGGTGCAAAAAAAAAAGAATTGTGTCAATCAATCTTTCCCATTGGCAACAACTTGAATTGTGGAACAAAAACATAGGTTCCTCCTTACATTTTAATGAGCTTTTTAACCAACCTACATAAACATAAATTTACTAAAGGTTATTTATTTATCTATTTATGATTGAACTTTTAATTTCAATACTAGTATGTATTAACTTGTTTTTAACTAAATATTAGAATATTTAAATGAGCTGACTCTGATGGCAGCTACACGGCTGTTGAAAATGTCAAAGGAAACAGAGTAAACCTAAGCCCCATTAATCCATCCCTCCCATCATCCAGCCAGTGTGACCATCAACACTTAGTAGGTCTGGATTTAGTTTTATAGATTTTCTGCTCTTTGACAGGTTTAAATATCTGCATTGTGATCCTTGGATCATTTTAGAGTCTTTTTTTTTTCTAATAACCTATTTGGGAAGAACAACAGCCTGTCTTTTGTCTCCTCAGAGCCGACCCTGAAGACTGTCGACAGCAAGGCCAAGCTAGCTGAGCGCAGAGTTTCAGAGCAGGCGTCCATACTGGGGGGCACAGTGAGCAAGGCCTTATCGTCCTCTGACACCGAGCTGCTCATGCTCAATGGAACAGACCCTGTGGCTGAAGCGGCGATCCGACAGCTCCACCAGTCGGCCAAGCAGAAGCTCAAATCGCCAGTAAAGAAGAGCACCATCATCATCTCAGGCATCGCCAAAGTAAGAATGAGTCATGGGGGCCGAATGCATCCCTCCATCCCCTGGTGACGAGTTAATTAAGTTTTTTTCTGTCAGTTGGAAAAAAGAAACAATCCTCTAGATGATAAACTGTTTGGCTTTTGCTTCCGGCTGAACCCACGTGTGACCGGGTGACTTCTGGATAGAAATGTTGCTTAGATACGGTGTTTGAAATGGAAATCTGCCTCTTCCCTCAGACACCCCTGTCTCAGGATGACGAACTTTCTTTGATGGCGGGTTACGCAGCACAGATGGATGCCTCGATGTCCGAGAGCAGCTCCACTCAGGACATGAACGCGGCCGTTGCATCGGGTGCCAGCAGCAGTCCTCCTGAGGGGTCCGAGCCCCACAAAGGTCCTGCCGAAGTTGGCCAACCTCCAGAAGACTGGGAGAGTCAAGCTGAGGAAGCGCTGGACAACACATCCCTGTCCATGTGTGTATCTGAGGCCAGCTGTAAGAAAAGCAGAGGTGAGAAAGTGTTCATTACCGTTCCATGAAGATCATGTCTTTAATGAAGAAGTAAAACTTATTTAATCAAACTTTTCTTCTTCTCAAAGTCTTACTGAAGTCCTTGCTGCCTGAAATGTCCATTAAGTGAGCAAATAAAAGAATTTATACATATTAACATAAAGATATTCACACACATTTTTATTCATACAATTATTACTCATAATCCACATGACCACAAGCTTTGCAAAAAAAAAAAAATATATATATATATATATATATATATATATATATATATATAT